CCAAAGGGCGGATCGCCTAGTGGAACAACCATCCCAACTTACCACCGATTGGTCCTTCGCAACACATTTTTGGGCGGCTACAAATTCATTTTTAAATTCCTAGCTTAGTATGAAGTTTAGTAGAGTTTAGTATCTTTTATTCAGTAGTTTTCATTATTATTCACTTTTCAAGTGGAGAGCTTAGAACGAGGTTTTTGAGACATTATTCCTAAGCTTTGAAGATTTCCATTTTTAAGAAATTGGAAGTGGGTGTTGAAAATTCTTCATCTTAGACCTTTGTAAAGACTATATCAATTCTACCCAGTTGATGGAAACACAACTTGGTAAGGATTTTTACCTTATTACTATGTCTAGCTAAAACCCCAATTCTTGGGGTGTGATACGTAATTATGGGTTGATTTAACTGCTGGGTATTGTTAATTGATAGGTAATTTGTTGTTTAAAGGTGATTTCGTTTGGTAATTGTGGTTGAATATAATGGGTTGTAGTTGCAAATACAATCTTGACATCGTGTTTTTGGCTTGCTAGAGAGAAAGGTTTTAAAACCAAAATTACTGAATCGATGGTCTGTGGGTATTGGGTTGTCATGGGTTCAGCTCGAGAGAGTGAATCCTAAACCCTTTTCTACACATTCAGCTCGAGAGAGTGAATAGACTAAGTTGTGCTTAATTGCTGCTTATTGGTGTTTGAGAGAAACCAATTTGATTCGTGGTAAATTGTTCGAGAAAAAGTTTACCCCCATTAAAGTCTAGCTTAATCACTGATTTACTTATGTTCACTATTAATTGCAATTACTCGATTGTTTACCTTAGCCCAGAATCCAATAACATCCCAAGAGCCCGTCTCTATATTAGTATTTTCGTGTTATTTGTTGTTTTAGTTGATAATTGAAACCAAATCCTCCTGATATTTGACACTTTTGTCATCCCTAATTTGAACAATGTTTTTAGCTATGATTGACTTGAGCATATTTATGTTTTTCTATTGATTCTCAATTGCGAACCACTCCCTTGAGACTCGACCCCAACTCACATAGTTAGGTTATATTACTATTGAATGATCGCAGACACTTAGTATTGGATCAAGTGTCTTTGATAGTGTTTTTATTAAAATGGCGCCGCTGCCGGGGAGTGATGTTACATGAGAATTTTTAGATAAGTTGAATTTTGTTCTTGTTAGTTATAGTGATACTTACTTAATGTTAGTTTCATTTTGCTTGTTTGTGTGTTGAAACAAGAAGTATGAGTGTAAATGGTGACTGTGAACAAATGTATCACCTTCCGTTAGAAGTTATGAGGTTTAGGGATAACATCTTGACCTTCAAGCAATTAGAAGGTGAGAAAATTCATGAGTCATGGCAGAGGTTTAAAGCTCTGCTGATGCAATGCCCAACTCGTGAGATTCCTAATTTAGCTCTATTGGAATGCTTCGATAGGAGTTTTAGTCCCAGGAGCAAAGGATTGATTGATCAACTTATCTTGGGTGGTCTTGTACGACAACCCTATATGGTAGTAGCGCAACCCCTTGACCACATGACTGAGGCCAACCAAGAGGTAGAAATGGATCTCCATTTAGCCACTTTTTTAACTCAGCTAGACGAGTTGACCAAAAATATATTGGAGTTTGAAGTCTAGGGCAAAAAGAAACACCAGTACATCCCTCCTCACGAGCATATAAAGCCCAAAATGTATGAGGGTGGACAAATGGAAGAGATGCTCTCTCTAATTCTCCATAAAGTTGAAGAGCACGACAAAGTGTTGAATGAGATGAAAGAAAATCTCTCACTACTAAATGAGATGACTGCTTCCCACTCTATATTTGTTCAGCTTCTGGAGACCTAAATGGGCACGTGTTGTCTCGTCTCTACCCCGTAAGTCACAATTGAGTGGGGGAAGTCGTGCCACAACGTTAACTAAGGAGCTTCTTAGGAGGAAATTCAAGTTTTATTTTCTTTCTTTTTAAGTGTGAATTAATGGTGTGTTGATTGTGCAGGTCGAAGTGTGGAAAGTAATTGAAAAGTGCAGGCTGGCGAGCTAAAGGTCAAGCTGGCACATCGCCGAAGAGGTTTGCGACCCTGACCCAGACCGCCGTTGGACTCACCCATCTCTTTCTGCCGATTCCCCGGGTTGTCGGAATGAACCGCTTCTTCTTCTTCCACGAAGATTCAGACAAAACCGAGCTTGGATGGAACTGAACAAGATTAAGACGGTGACAGTTACACTACTTTTGAACCGCCTACTTCTATTCGCCAAGCCCACATATCGGACCTGGCCGGAATAGGGTTATATACATTCTCATAATGAGAAGGGGCCATTCGGGCCTATCTAAATAGATACTATGTTTACACGGAATAAATGATTGAACAAGCACCAAAATGGCTTGGTTGGTTATATACGAGAATCTCGGAAGAAAGCAAGTTAGAAAGCTACTTCGACAGGGTTGAATTACATTGGAGTCTGTAAAACTTGGTAAACCCAGGAAATTATTGGCGAGTCACCAACTAGTTCGGCGATCCCGTCTAGTCTGTCATTTGGACTCCCACATTAAATGGAGGTCTTGTAAAACTCGGCAAAGTAAGTGACCACTCGGTGTGTCGTCGAATGGTTTGGTGAGCACGATTAACATTGCCGAATGGACGAGAACTGGATGGTTTTTAAAAGGACAAAGGTTTACACTTTCAAACTCTTCACCTTCCCTCACTTTCAAACTTCACAAACTCACACCTGCAATTTATTTTCCATATTTTCGCACTTTTATTAGTATTTTAGTCGTTGATTTGTGCTCAAATTGGATTACTTTACCACCTAGCATTTCAGTCTTGATTATTTGACATTAAAGGTTGGTTTTTCGAACCCTGAGTTTAGTTTTAACAATTTTGTACTCTTTTACAAATGATCTTATCTTGTTGTCGTGTGCTGGGCCTCTCCGATAGGATTAGAATGTTTGAATGCCTGTTTTAATTCAATAATCTTGCCCGTATTGCCTTTAATGTTAGATTCCCGTAATTTGGTGCGTTAAAATGAATTAAATCTTGTGGGATTGTGCATACATGTTGTTTAGCTTAGTTGGGTGAACTGTGAGTAACTCGAATCTGTGGCAAAAGATGTAATTTGCCCAATGATTGAGCAGGTGACGTCATTATGAAGGGCAAAGGATGTCAAATGGCAAAATTTGGCAAAATCGGGAAAAATTGAGTATCCCGGGATAATGGGTGTTATGAATCTTGTGTTAATTTGACAAGTGCATGCTTTGATTTTGTTTTCGGGGGTTGCCGGGTTGAATTCGAGAAGTTGGGTTGAAAGTAGGCACGTTGGGTCGTTTGGCGAGCTGGGTCGAGCTTGCCAAACCACCTGGCGGTTCACCAAAAGTCCCTATCTTGCCTTTAATTTCATGCTAAACTTGTTGTTTGACTCTATAATGTGGGGAGAGATACTTGAGGTCGCCGAAGGCACCCGACGACTTGCCGAAAGTCTTCTTGATCATCTTTTGCCTGCACCCCTGTAGCTTAATTTGCACTGTAATTCTCGGCGGGCTAACCCTTGGTCACCCAATTCGGTCGGCAATTCGCCGAAAGGCCTCCTCATTGTTGACTTGCCAAAACTTTAAGAGCCACTCCTTTCGACGAGCCCGATAGCTCGCCAAAGTGATTCGGCGAGACTGTCTATACCTATTTTTCTGTGATTTTGACTAAATTGTTTCTAACTTTTTCCCAATGTTTTACAGATATGGTGAGAACAAACATTGACATGCCACCTTGGAAAAGAGTATGGGGTATCACAATAAATGAAGGGGGGTCAAATCCTTCAAAGAAAGGCAGGCAAAAGCTTCTACCGGGAGACAAAGGCGAGGGTAAGATGCCCATATCTGACAGGGTGACTATTGGATCCTAGGCTACTTTTTCTAAGCCCGAGGATGACCAACCTTTGCAATCCCGGCGGAATGAGATTCAGGCTAGATCTCAACCTGACTCATCCAGAGTCCCTCCAACTCCTACACCAGCAGACTTAGTGCCACCTCAGGCACCTCCCATGGCTCCTGTTCCACCAGTCATCCCTCCGCCTAGGCTTCTTAATAGATTGAAAGGCGATGGTTTACGAATCATCCTCGAGGAGAAGATGATATCCACAGAGGGCCTAGAGGGCAAATACTCATATGTGAGGGACACCCTCAACTACCTTCAATTTTATAAGTTTACCAAGCCTCGAAGCCTTTATATTCTTTCATGCGTCCGGGAGTTCTATATAGCGTATAATGACTTGGTCCCTAAAAGCAAGAAGAAGGCGAGCAAATTCAGACTGGTGAAGTCTGTCATCGTACGGGGAAAAGAAGTTGGGTGTAATAGTGAGTACATAAAAAATGTACTGGAGCTGTGCATTCTACACACCCTTATGTTGGATTGCATGTTTCTCAGTCCTTAGATGATTTGAAGTGCTGGCTGGCACCTCTGATATCCAATACCACCCTGAGGTGGATCAAGGCAGGAGCCCCTATTGAGAAGGGGGATTTGAGTATTGCTGCTCATTTCTGGTTTCACTTCATCAGCACCACCATAATGCCATCCCAGAATGAGTCTATTTTGTGCCATCCTAAGGCAGCATGCCATGGAGTTATCATATCCCGGAGGAGCATTGACCTGGGACTTCTTATTGAGGGCCAAGCATAGACAGACTTCCTTACCTTTACCAGTCTTGATCACAAAGTTATGCTGACGAGCTGGAGTGCCTCAAGATGATAGGAAGGACATTGAGGTGACCCCATCTTCCTCCAATGCCATTAGGTGCATTGAGGCAGAGTATACTAGAGAGGAGGCTGACAGGAGGAGGGCAGCTCCGGTAGATACATCCCCCGAGGTGGATATACATTCGATACCTGCAGAACCATCTTTGCCTACTCCGGCCTCCAGGCCTTCAGGTACTTCTGCCCCTACTTCTTCTTCACAAGCTCCATGCACATATACTTTCTCCCAGTAGACAAAAATTACCTAGGCGATGATCCTGAAGATGGGGCATTTGGCCCATTCAGCTGATGTGAGGGTGACCCGTTTAGAGAGATTTGTCCCCTTGATGATTGAGGTTGATATCTTAGCTACACTAACCCCCCTCAATACTTCCATTGACACTCTCACCACAAGAGTGGAGGCTTCTGAGAGCATGCATGGAGAGACCTTTGAGGTTACAGCTTTGAAAGCCGAAGTTGCAGATTTGAGGAAGGACGTAGACTATCTAAAGTCTACTGACTTCAATTCTTTGCTGGAGGCTGTAGACAATTTAGATGCCCCTGAGACTTCAGAGATTCCTCCGGCTACCACCAGAGATGCACATAAGGATGAGGCAGCAGTTTATGAGTCGGATACTGAGACTAACGAGGAGCAGATAGAGATACGGGATGAGAGAATATACAGAAACTTTCCAGAAATTGAGAAGACGATTATGTAGGCGTGTTTCAAAGATCGCTGACCGAGACGTCCACGGAAGCTCTTAGTGGGTCTGGTATTGTTGTCCCATCTGAGGTGACTCCGGGGACTGATCCCTAAGTTCAGACTAATGCCTTGGGTACTGATGCCCAGACAGATGGAGCGACTGTGTAGATGGGATCCCCTCTTTACCTTCCTCTCTGTCTTACTTTCAATTTGACTTTTGGATATTTTAGTTTTTGTTTGCATTTGAGGAGAATGATTTTATTTGTGGTGGGGTGAGGCCCACCTTTTGTGTGATCTTATGTGACTTTTTGGTTTTGTTTATATATTGGGTTTTGAGCTATATTGTGTTATACACTACTTTTGCGGATGATTGAGCTTCTGGCTCCTTGTTTTAAATGATAATGATTTTTGAACCGTTCTGAAAAAAATTGTGCCACCTCTTGTTTGTGTTGAATGTGGCTGTTCTTTTGCAAATTTGAGTATCAGTTTTGATCAATACCAATGACCTAAATAGTGTTCGTAATCGAACAAAAATAAATGTGCGGCTACGATGAGGCCAAATAAAGTTGCGTAGACAATATGTGAACTCTTTGCTTCTCGTGTGACCAGCCACCTATCGAATTGAGTCTCTTGTGATGAGCATTTCACATTAGCAAAACTATGGAGTCTTGTTTGACATTGGTGTGTATGCCTTGTGTGATGAGCTTACCGTCAACCATGCGTGATGACACGTAGAATTTGCTCTGTTGGTCTGGTTGACTAAGTGATGCAATCTCTTGACATGATCTTAGGCCACTTTGAAGAGTGTGAAACATATTGATATTATACCTCTTTTTTGGCCTACCTTGTGAGTGTGCGAACCCTGTTTGAGCACCCTTTGAGCCTTAACCTTTTCTTGGAAGAAATTTGATGACATTGTGACCTTTCTTGATCCATTACCCATGATCCTCATGATTTTTTGTTTGTTTGAATAGCCAACTTAGCTAAAAGCCTAACTTTGGGGTGTGGTGAAATGAGAAGGTAAATCAAGAAGTGCAAGAAAGTCCCCTTTGACCCATGGTTTTGAGAAAAATGGAACCCCTCCATACAAAAAAAAAGATAGTAAAGAAGAAAAGAATGAAAAAGAAAAAGAATGACAAAGTTGTGGAATAAAGTTCTAAAAATACAAAGAAAATGGGGTCTCCAATAGTCCATGGAAAGTGAAGAATGGGATGACTTTTGAGCAAGAATGAAAATGATGAAGAAAAGGAAAGAAAATGTTGTTCACACCACATTTCATGAGGATAGAAGTCACTATGCCTAAATGACCATACATTTGCACTCAACCCCGTTACAAGCCTTGAAAAGACCTTTTTCATATTGAGTGAGCTAAAGCAAGTGTTGATTGGAAAATACGGGCTAACCTATAAGTGAAATCATTCATTGTGTTCATCTTTCTGAGTGTAAGCGTTGCATTCGATTCCGTAGCTTTAAATTGTGATCAATTGTGTGTGAATATGGAATCATTCTTTGTGTGAGGGCATTTGAGTACCTTTATTGAGCTTGAACTTGCATTTGAATCAAGTATTGTGAGTTTGAGATTCTTTGATAATGGTGAGTCACAACTTGAGTCTTTGAGTGCATAATTGATCTTTGCATGAGTAAGTTGAGTCTTCTTGTGCGCATTCATGAATGAGTCTTGTGTAGCACTATTTGAGACATCCCTTTTGAACTGCTGAACTTGAGTTTTACTTTAGGACAAGCAAAAGTTTAAGTTGGGGGTGTTGATGAGTCCACGATTTGAACTCATATAGGTCTTTATTTTAATGGATTTAGTGTCCTCAAATGCATATTTTGTTCCAATAACTTATGTAAATCCTTGAATTTCAGGTATTTGGATTGAGAAACAAAGCATGGACACTATTGAGCAAAACGGAACAAGACAGCTGAAAGAACGAAGAAAAGAAAGCCTGATGATCACCTAATCCATTAGGCGAGTCGTCGAATGGCCGTGTCGAGCCCTAAAGGAGAAAATCAAGTCGGCGATAGAAAGAAGTGGTCGGTGAGTCGCCGAACGGTTTTGTGATGCAGTGCCATATCACCCAAAGTACAAAATCAGAAAATGCTGAAGGCCAAAGCAAAAAAGGTGATGAAATTGACCAAAGGGCGGATCACCGATGATGACATGAATATCTCAAGGCTTATGGTGTATGCTCAAAAAATTGAGGAGTTCAAACTTAAGAAAAGAATTAGGGAGTTGAAAAGAGGTAGGTCCGATAAGAAAGGTCAACGAAGGTTCAAAAAGAGATCTTCCAAGCATGATTCCTCAAGCACTCCTAGGGTTAACCAAGATAAAGGTAGTGGGTCTCCATTTCCTAAACCTACTTGCACTAATTGTTGAAAGAAACACTTTGGGAAGTGCCTAGAAGGTAGAAATGGGTGTTATGGTTGTAGAAAGAATGATCATAATCTGAAAGATTGCCCTATACTTTCAATAAAAGGAAGAGATGCTAAGAAATCTTCTCTTAATGGTATGGTTCATATCCCTTAAAATATGGTCATTTCTATGCACTCCTATCTAGAGAGGACAAGGGAGCCCTTTCGGATGAAGGCACCGGTATGTTGATAGTTTTTAAAGTTGTAAATGTTGTATTGAGGTCCTTATGTTATTTTCATGCTAGCCTTAGTATGAGTTTACTCCAAAGGGGGAGATGGTATGTTTAGGAGGCAAGGTTGTTAAGAGTTCAGATATCCTTATCACTTCCTTCTATTCCTTTTCAAGCTTGAGATCAAGAGTTCCTTATGGCTTGTTTCATGTTTTGGATTCCTGTGTGATTATGTGTTTCCATGGTCTCCTTATGATATGCATGTTCTTGATGAATTGATTTTTAATGAGAAAATGAGTTTTTATGATTTATGTTCTTCATGATTGATGTGCATTTAATATGAGTTGCCTATATGCTTCATGAGATAAATTGTTGAACATTCTTAAATGTGATTTTGAGAATAATTGCATAATTTTGTTAATGATGATATGATTAGCATGATTTGAGTTAGAGAAGGCAATTCCTCCAATGAAATGATAAATGTTGAAGTTTTCAAACATAATTGGTTGGTAGATGTAGTTCCTACTTCCTTGTGTTGCATTGACTATATTGAGATGGAGTTGATGTTTCCTCCTTGTTTTGTGCATTTTTATGATGTTTCATGCATGATGGGCTAATAATAGTCTTGAGTCTTTATTTCCGTAAAGTGTTTAAAGTGTCATTCGAGAATGAATGTTCCCAAGGGTGAGCTAATGTAACGACCCGGAAAACTAGTAGGTGAAACTAGAGCCTTACATGTGAGTTGTTGAGTTTGATATGGGGTTTTACGTTGTTAAATGGTTTTCCAAGATTAGGTTGAGGGGTTTAGGGGTTAAACGTCAACGTATGACCCCCTTAAGGACCAACCAAGGGTCCTTGAGGAGGACCCTAAGGCCGAACCCCCAAGACCCCCAAAGCTGCCAAAGAGGGCAACCTACAGATGGCACCTATGGCTAGTAGGTGGACCCATGCCCCGTAGGTAGGGTGTCACGACCCGGGAGCACCCCCAAGTCGTAACAAGGCGTACTCGACCCCGAAGGGGTCTTATACAAGCCACATAGTCATTCATTGCATTCAATAATGAAAATAGTGCGGAATAAAAAAAAACTTATTTACATCCACACATTTAAACTTCTTAAAGCAACTTTAAAAACACACAGCGGAAGTCTAAGTCTCACATGGCCATCTTAGACACAGTCGCAAAACATAAGTAGGGACACGGCCCTTTACAATCAAAATAAGTCTATTACATGAACAAAAGAACTTAAAAGTCTTGTCCTCGCATCCATGAGGACATACCAAGTCTTGGAGGAAAGCAATCCAACACTTCAAACTAGCTAGGAGGGATCACTTGCCGGAACCTACACTTATAGTAAAAATATGAAGAATATGGGTTAGTACACAAAATGTACTAAGTATGATGACCATGCAAAACATGCTTAAAAAGGGACATTTTAGTTAGAAACCATGCATTATGCCACCTTTTTGAAATATCATGAACAATAGCATAAAAGACATACAAGACAAGCATAACATCAAGTAAGTCATAATATCACCTTTAAACAATATCAACATGAAAACCTTTACCTTGGACCTTCACCTCAAGAAACCCTTATGCTATACCTCGTGCAATGTATGGATGACGTCCCATACCACCATCCATACTAAGGCACCACATTTAGTTCACTTAAAGTAACTTATCATTCCTTTCTTTCACCTTTGCACAATATTCATACATAAGAGGTATATCATTAATTAAGACATGACAAGGGAAAATAACTCGTAATATAACCCAAGTATAACATGCATAACATATTAAGCATTTAAGAGCCAACATTCTTTAATAACCTCATTAGGGTACATTCATGTCACAGTCATTAGGATTTAGAGAAACTCACTATGACCCTCTCCAAGCCTACTCGTGCAATGTATAGGTAGCATCCCATACTACTACCTACACTTTGTAGAACCTGTCAAGAAACCATAATGAAATCTCACATGATGGGAAGTAAGCGTTTAACCGACATAGACCATGAGAGCTTGTCATGGAATCCGGTGTCATGAGTCCCCACACCGAAAAGAGGTGGTCTACTTGCCTAAGGAAGACCGGTATATATAGCTTAATGGATCCACTAGCTTCCTATGCGGGCACATAGTTTATGGGATAAGGTAGACGATCATTGAAACTCATGCCTAACTGTCGGGGGATTTTCCATCTAACCAAATCCGCTCGGTGCTTAGCCTACATTCCCATAGAATAGTTCATTACTTTGACATCATCACACATGAAAGGGTGCCATAAGCCTACCGATTCAAGGTACATTATTTAACACATGAAAGGGTGCCATAAGCCTACCGATTCAAGGTACATTTAGGAAAGCTCATTAACTCCTCTTGAAAGGGTGCCATGGACCTACCGATTCAAGTCTCATCATTAACCTTTATGGAAAGG